CACACGGGGAGAGAGTATTGCACAAGTCCCTAGATTGAGGGATATAGGGATACAGGAGGTAACGAAGAGGAGAACAGAAGTGGGGAGCCTCTACCGACTACAGGCCTCCTTATATACTATGGGGTACCGACCGTATTAGGAAGGGAAAGGTAACCGACCAAAGTGGGGAGGTATGAGGAGACTGTAAAGGAACGCGTCTGGTCGAGGCTGGGCCCAGTATAGTACAAGACCTAGGTCAGGGTCCTGTGATATAACCGAAAAGGGATAGAGACGGGACAGGGTCCTGAGTCTAGGTCAGGGTCGGGCAATATAACCAAAAAGGGAAAGGGGCGCGACAAGGGTCGGGGTCTGGGTCAGGGTAAAGTAATGTAACCGAAAAGGGAAACGGTCAGGGTCGGACTCAGGGTCCGGTCATATAGACGAAAGGGGAGATATTGAGGGAGAGGACCGGGGCTAGGAACATAGTCGTCAGGAGGTGGAACGGGGGATGATAGTGTACAGGCGGACGACGAGGGAACGGGAAGGTAAGCATAGGTCGCCGGGGACGGGAAGGGGAGTGGAGTGTACACGAGGGCGACGAGAAGGAGTAGTCCAATAACAAAAAGATAGAGGGTGAGGCGTACCAACGGTAACAGAGCCTATTGTGAGTACCCGTCCCATATCTGCAATTGAGAAATAGATTTATACCGTCTTCTCCCCGTACCAGTATAAGGCTTGACTACGTTGGCGCTCCAGAACACTGCAGGCGATGATATACCCAATAGTGAATATAATCGAGATGTAACTGGCTATCTGTCCCACACTGCGATTGAAAGTGAAGCTTACGTCTTGATCCACACTCTGAATAGCGAGGAATCCCACGTCTGCAGTGAGAATCACCGTTGACTGTGTGGTAACCGCGGTGAGCCCTCACATCATTGAAGACGGTGGCATATAAGTCAAAAACCTACAGGAAGTATACCTGCCGACCAGTCAACCTGCAGCTCTTGATTCAGTAAAGTCCATCGCTCCATATTGACTCTTGATTCAACCCATGATTTGAGTAACCGGTTATAGTAGAGCTGCGGCGCAAAGAAGAATACCCCAGAGAGCACTCTAAACCAGATCTGTCGATCTCGGTGTGTCTCTTGATGCGCACTCATCTCAGAATCGAGTCGCGTGCAGTGCTCGCCGTGGTACTCATAGAAGCGGGTGTGATCTACGTACCACATTATTAGCACAATTTCGTTTAGCTCATATGTGAATGGACCTACTGAATATTGATGATAAGCGGGCTTTATCCCGCCTCGTCATTAGTATCAACATCCACGCCAATCTGCTAATCCGTTACTCACCCACGACTGCAACATGTTGGGGCCTTGATGGTGCATCTGCTATAAATATCAAGTATTGATGAATGTCTAAGCAATTACGGGAGGAAATGACCTCACGTTTTATCACTATTCTGTCAAGAGTCTGGATCATGTCACGCATGTCCTCAACGCCGTATGGTGCAGTGGATGTTCTGGACGTCCGCTGCACTACAGAACAAGGCCTGAGTCCAACTGGTCCAGCTGGGTAAGTCAACTGGCATTGCGGCTCACCAATAAGATATAAATCTAGATCACTCTTCAGGACCTCCACTTTCTCCGTAGAAAGTATTCGGTCATGAGTGTCACGGATGTTGGACAGACGCCCCTTTTTGCCGCCCATTGCCCTCCCTTTGACGCCCACCTTCCATTCGCGGACCATTTCCTTTCCTAGCCCATTCCAATTTGGACACTGTAGATACGTTCCCACAGCTGCATGCTACGTTCCCGTGATCGCCATGCCCTTGCCTTTTTGTTCTCGCCCTTTGTTCTTCCTTTGTCATCTTCACTGCCTCGCTCTCGCGCCTTGTCTTTGGCTGCTAAGCAGCCCCTCGAGTATATAAGGACCCCCTTAGGCGTTCCCTAGTCCCCATCTCGACCTCTTGGTCATTGGGACTAGGTGAGTGGCCATAGCGTTGTATCTCCCTTTGTTTGCTAATGTATAACTTGGTCATTGGAACTAGTCTGTCGCTGTCTGCGTGAAGACTAGCTTTCGTCGGTCTTGTGCCTTCGTGCTGGCCGACGCTCTGCCCTCGTCGAGTTTCTTGATACGTTTATCCCTCCTTATCTCTCTCTTTCCCCTTTCGGCTCCTTGCCGCTCGCCCACGGGGTCGTCGCCGAACGTCGACCCGAGTCTACGTGCCTAGTCGCCGCGACAGTGAGGGAACATATACAGGTGAGTCCTAGTGTCCGGCGTGAATAACTACTACAGAGACCTCGACGGTTACGTGAGCTGACTGATGTTGCGGACCATAAAGGCAGGTCTCACCTGAGGAATAATGAACCACACCAATAGTTTGCAGCGATTACGTAAGCTAAACAATGATTTAGTTGAGAGCTGCGAGGTGATCATAAACATACCTAGGTGCTCTTTCCCAAGATTCTCCACGGCATCGGTTTCGGTGACCAAGCTGGCAGAAATGGGATGGATCTATGTTGAACTTGGACTTATCCGGTCCGGACTACACGAGGCTATGCGTCTCCTAGCGTTTAGCTGTAGTCGCTTATGTAGTATGTTACCATATTTGGGACTCTCTGCTCGTGTACTATAGCTATGCTTCCGGACTCTTCTGGTACTGTCTAGGACAATCCGTACTACTCCAGAACGGTCTAGACAGGTCTATGCCTTACTCATCTGTTACTCATCCTATGGTGCGATACGTCGCAATTCTTTCACCATCGTATTATTCATTGCACTATGGTACATGTGACTAACCACTCTTCAATTAGTCATGGACACTTCACTGTAGTATATAAGGACTTCAGATTGCGTCCTCCCTCTTCAGTCTTTCCTTACTGACTGAAGAGTGAGTACTTCGTTACCTTTACCTCTAACTTGTAGTTACTTACTTAACCTTTGTAGTCTTGCTTCGACTCTAGGTACAGTTCGTTGCTGCAATATAGTCTTTCCTTACTGACTGAAGATCTTGCTTCGAC